ATAAATATATATGCCTGTGTGTATGTGTGTGTGCGCGTGCGAGCGCGCGCGTGTGTGCGTGCGTGCGTGCGTGCGTGCGTGCGTGCGTGTGTGCGTGTGATCTTAAACTGTACGATCATGCATATCTTGTATATGTAAAAATAAATATGATCGAGTTGAAAGTGTGGGTCCAAACTAGAGAGGACACAATCATGGATATAATCAAGAGCGTATAAAGAAGGCCTTCTTTATACGCTCTTGATATAATACGATTTTATTCTACAGTTTCTACTCGTAAATGCTCAATTAGGAAAAGGAAGCCGCCTTCTTTCACTGGACTGTAGCACAGGCGATAGATAAACAATATTATTTGAGAGAGAGAGAGAGAGAGAGAGAGAGAGAGAGAGAGAGAAGCAGTCGCAGTTTTCTTTTTACGGTGGCGCAAGAAATTCTCCGCTCCGTACTTCCCTCATTTCTGCGATAATATATTCGTGACAAAGAATCGTATTCTAACGGTGAGTATAGGATTCTGTGCTGCAGCGCACGCTGAAGACATTGACCTCCTAACTAACGCATACCAGTGTTTTTCACTACAGTAGCGCATGCGTGAAAGTCGAGAAAATAAACTCGACGCTAAGCAGGCGATGCGCTGTGCAAACGTCAACTTGTTTAAGAACGCTGTTACAATAATTCCTTGAAAGTTTTGCTCCCATGCGCGCCCATCGTATTGACACACACTACGGCGAGTAAATTCCCTCACGCGCGGTAATGGCACGGCCATTGTGCGGAAACTGGGTTGCGAACGAGGCTCACCTTCTATCATACATATATATCATTGCCTGCTCTGCCACTTATTGCGTGATAAATTGACGAATACCATCGCTGCAGAATTGCCTTGAAGTACACGTGCTACAAACGTAAGCGAGGGCGCACTAGATCACGCGAAAAGGGTGAGCGAGAAGTTATCACACGTCACTGTAGGCAGTAAAGTTGTCAACCAGTCTAGAATAGAGCTGATCGCGCATGAACTCGGACCGCGCGTACGCATGCTGATGAGAGCAACTAATTATTTCACCGACATAATGTCCCTTCGCGCGGCGATCATTGTAAGTATTTGCACATCAATGATCGACGATCGTGAACCATTGCAGTTGTCACTTAATAGCTAGAGTGGTGAAGTCAACCCGCGGCATCCGCCGTATCTTTTACACGGTGAATACAGCGAGAACAAAAACTAGTGGATCCACTCTGGCACACGGTGTTTCTCATGTTCGGCTATACGAGAAGGAAATGCGCTTCAGTCTTGTTGCATGCCGTGGTTCAGTACTGTCACGCAGGCATAACGATGGGCGTGTTATACAGCCTTAATTAGGACAATGTGAGTCATATATCATTGTGAGAGCGCTTGGTAAAAGTGTGAGAAAGAGAGAGAGAGAACGAGAGAGAGAGAGAGAGAGAGAGAGAGAGAGAGAGAGAGAGAGAGAGAGAGAGAGAGAGAGAGAGAGAGAGAGAGAGAGAGAGAGAGAGAGAGAGAGAGAGAGAGAGAGAGAGAGAGAGACGAGAGAGAGAGAGAGAGAGAGAGAGAGAGAGAGAGAGAGAGAGAGAGAGAGAGAGAGAGAGAGAGAGAGAGAGAGAGAGAGAGAGAGAGAGAGAGAGAGAGAGAGAGAGAGAGAGAGAGAGAGAGAGAGAGAGAGAGAGAGAGA